GGGGACGAGGCGGTGCTGGGAGGGGCGAGGGCCGAGTGGCGCAATGGCGTTGCGGGGGCGGGGTGTGTGAGGGAAGGGTGACGGGGCAGAGACGGGCAGGGACGAGGGCACTGGAGCGGTGAGTGATTGGGGCGCGGGCACCCGCGGGGCAGGCCGTTGGAACGGAAGAGGCATGAGCGCGGGCAGCGAGTAGTTTTTTGTCAAACAGCTAAAGCTTATGGAGAAATGATACACGTGTGGAATTTGCCTAATTAATTAAGTAGAAATACTTTAGCAGTACTTACGCAAGAGAAGAAAATGAAGATAAACCGTCTCTGTATTTTTGAATAAAATGCGTTGACACAGCATCCAATATAATAGAGTAAATCCTACACTGTAAATATGTAGTACAATACAGTAAATTATTTTAAATCAGATTTTTAAGGTTGCTCTTTCTAAAATTTGTTAACGAGCGGTCCGCAGCAGCGAAGTATGATTGATTTAGAAACGTCCTCATATACCCAACGCCGCTACTTAAGAGCTAATTGTGTGCGGCTACTCTGTTATGCCTATTTGATCAGAGAGCTTAAAGGCCCGGATATGAAGAGAACTACTTGGTCTCATTCTCAGCGCACATCACTGTGCATCTCCGTTCAATTAGATTCAGAAATAACGCGACTTCCAACGGTAAGCTAGGAACTACTAGTTGATATTCATGAATGGATTGATTCAATGATTGATATTTCTAGCCACCTCAAATGCTTTGATCATTAGTTCTATTAGTCTGTTAGTCCATTAGAATGTTTTTATTCCTGGCGGTGATTCTCCAGTAGAAATGAGTCCAGTTATGACGTGAAACATTAATGTACGTGAAATTTTTAAATTTATTTTTGAAAAATTCATTTTTAGCCCGTATAATTGTTCCTATTCCCATTAAGAAATAGCGCGAGCATGGGCGAGCGCGTTAGCGTGGGAATGCGGCTTACCGTCGGCGGGTGTGCCTCCCAGAGCTGCCAACAGCAGCAGCAGGGCGAACAGCGTGGGCAGGGACGGCAACGGCTGCAGCGCCAAGGATGGCGCCCGGAGTTCCATTGCCTGCAACGGATAGCAACATGTTTTTTATTCAAATTGTGCTCATGAGAAGGTACTCCGTAATAGATAATAGATAACATATAGTCAGGCAAGGGTATTAATAATGATAAATGAAACATATTGCATGAATTATTTATGAATAATTGAATTGAATTAATACCTTATTTTACGTAACGAGACTCAGGCCATGAGGCTTGCTCTTCCGTCTGACCACGCAAATTTTGCTACGCTCCTTTCACCAACCAGCAGAGAAAGGAGGAATTTATTGGGCGAGAAATAGGCGATTTCAATAATGAATGGAAGTTTATTTTTCTACAATATTCTCGTGACTAATACAATTATTTGGAATATAGACTTATATAGACGGATCATCGCTTCTATTTGTATTGCAGGATATGCATCATTTCAGGAGGTAAATAAAAATACCACCTTCTCATTTAGATGAGCTAGTCTTTCTTATATTTTGCTGAAAAATGCTTCATTGCAGCCCAGCAGTTCCGTGACGATTTCTCTTCGTCAATAACATTCAATAGGTTTTTCTTAAATTGAGATGAAGCTCTGAATGTTTTTAATATAGAAACGAAGAAAAACACAAATGTGTGATTGGCGCAATCGGGCATATTATGATAATCCGGTACCTCGTGCGGTCTTGCGATCGCACCCGATTTTAGGTCGTAAGAACATTAGCTCACCAGCAGGTGGTCAGAATTGCAGTGCACTTTCTGTCTGCAAATGATGCTAATGACCCTTCTAGCCTACAAAAATGCTTTGAGTTTTCAAGAGTCGCCCAAAGTTTGCATAGGCGATGAAAATTGGAAAATTACAAAAACACTTTCCTCGGGTATTTCAACGTTCAAGGCCAAAATGGTTAAGGATAATATAACATTCGTAAGAAGAGGAAATTATGTAATCGTGCAAAATCGGAAAATGGCGAATATCCGGCAGAAAAACTCTTATTGCCGGGCCCTGGTAACGAAAAAGTGGATAAATCCTGATGTTTCATAGAGAAATAAACCTCTAACATGTGATGTGCCCAGAATCCATGTTTTGTTGGTCCTTGATACCAAAAACTCAATTAATGACAAAACTTCTTTCTGTCCGTCTGTAGTCAACTCTATCGGCTAAACCGTTCACCAATTTTTTTTTAAATTGATTATCCCCAATCGATCTGAATGAACTCAAGGTTTTGATAGTTTCAAATGGATATTTTTATTTTTAGGGCACTTTACATGAAGTCTCAAAAGCATTTTCAAAATTTCCACAAAAGTGGCACCATTTTTTTATCAAACTTTAGAATGCTTAAGAGAATGGTGGAGATCTCATATTCGATGAAATTCCCGATTTTTTTGAAAATTGTAGGGGCGTCTTGGGGCGTCTTCCTACAACCACATATTTGAAGTTCGTGTCCAAGTTTTCGAAAATATGAGTTGTTTTCGTGTAATTTAACGCAAAATATAGGCAATTCAAAAAGACAACATTTTTTTTGTCCAAAACCGCTCCAATTTTTCTTCATATTTTTTGCTCAAAGGGATGGGATGATTAAAAGAATGAGAAGGGTTTCATTTTCTTTGAACTCTCTGAAGTTTTGAAAATTGCAAATTTAGAAATAATGAGAGAAAATATGTGTTGTTGCAGTACCACTAGTTTTACTTGAAATGACTCGTCCGATATAAAAGAGTAGCGAAACACAACGGCAAAGTTCAAAAAATTGATTCTTCATACAATGGATTCTTCATGAAAATATGGGTCCGTAAATGCTAAATGAAAAAGATATCCAAACTTTTATACGCGAGTATCCGGGTTTTATTGTTTGTGTATTACTTGATTGTTGATCTAAACTGATACTTCAGTTACAATTGTTACATGAGTAATCATCATATAAATAAAATTAATATTATTCTAAAAGTCTCATTGTGCCGAAAATATTTTTTCGCAGATTCAAGACGCAGTTTCAAGGCAACATTTGCTAGTCCGTTTTTGTTTTTGTGTTTTTCAATGCATTTTTATAATGTTTATAAGTTTTTTTATTGTCAGTGTATGTAGTTCTGTTGAAGGAATTCTATAGTACGAATCAGCGCAAACTTCCTTTGTATGTTTATTTACTTCCGTTATTAATCGGTACTTATCAATCTGGCTCTTTCAGTGTTTTCTGATGCAAACTTTATGAGTGGAAGTTTTATGTTTGTGAGTTTTTGGAAGTTAAAGTTACTCGTAGTACTAATATTGCATTTATAAGATGCTAATAAGAGGTGTCAAATACTAATCAATATACGAGGTTTTCTTATTAGTGGTACCTTACAACTTATATTTTTACTTTCGTATTAGAGTGATAAACATTTAATGTGATAATATTGTTTTAGAGTACTTTGTACTCAGCCCCTTTCATCCATTTCCAACAAGTCCGAGAAAGAATTACAGACGGGACATTGAGAAGTACTCTATTTCTCTCCGCTTCATGAGGAGGCGATTCCAGTCTGTGCTTCTATATCAGGGTCAATACACACTTTGCGAGTCAATACACATTTTCACCTCCCGTTGAAGCGTCACTGTTTTTGAGTCGTGACGGGTCGTGACGTTTCGGGTCTTGATGAAGACTTTTACGTAGACATCATGCATCAAGTATGTGAATTTAACATATCATGAACGTACCACTACAACCTATCACAACCTATCATGGCAATAAATACTTACCGCAGAAATTCTGTAAACTATCGTTCGACAGGAAAAGCAATGGATGCGATCATGATATAATGACAATATTTCAATATTTCCTTACGATCAGTGATTCCGTAAAACATTTCTATGTGCATAATGAAGGCAATTTATGAAAATTGCATTGTTTTATGCCTAAATAAGCGTTGAACATTCCTTGAATGTTGTTGCGATGCATTGCTGCAATCAGTTTATTTATTTGTGTCAAAAACAGTTAAAAACTGTGTTTGACGTGCTATAGAGAGAAATTAATTTGAAGTTACAGTTGTTCTCGAACCACGTTAGCGTAAAAGTAAAAGCTTAGAGTTCGTGAAGATATGCCTTATGTTTGGGTTCTTGTTCACATGGTACAACATTTTTAATTTGTTCCATGGAATAGCATGGCACCAAGGTTTTTCCTTTCACGTTACATTTACGTTTTGTTAACATTACTTTTATGTTATTTGGAATTAGCCGCCGTTGGATATTACGTCAGTAAGCTTAATCTTGTAGACTGAAAACCCAGTCCAATAACATAAGATCCAAACTCAGATGAATGTTTTCTTCGGAATTTGGCTGAAATAATCAGACGAATCAGTTAACTTCCGTTTTAATGAACTCTACAACAGATGTAGCATATTCCGTTTATTATCATTACAGATTCCTAGTCCAGCTTGCCTTCGTTTTAGCTGACAATTGACTATTCCATTCGCCTCGTCTTGAGTTTTTCCTAGGACAACCGTTTTTAAACTCTTCCCTATCGGCATTAAACATGATAACCTCATTCCATTAATCTTCGTTATTCTACACGCTTCACAACGATACACTGCTCAATGAAGCAATAACGCACTGTATCTTTCCAACTTCATTAGACTGATTGCGAATTGCGGACCTCGTGGAACATATCTTTTCTTGCTGGAAACTACCTCATTGCTGGTGACATAGGACTCCTACAGTCAGCTCCTTAAACAAGTTCCTCAGGAATGTCTCAACTGGACGTTGAGCATGCTGTCGAGCAAAGTAAGCGAATCAACAACATTAACATTCGTATTACAAACTTGTTATTCTCTATAAGTGTTACTTGCAAGATTAATTTCCCGTTGAATTTCCTCAAAACAACGTAAGTCCGGTCCTTCCTTAAAAATTCAGCAAGGTACCACGAAAGATAAGAGTCTTGTTTGAATAAACCTTCCCCCACACCCACACTAGGCACGCCCATCTCATGTTTACAAGAACGGTTGAATGTCGAAAAAATCGGCTACTTCCTCGTATTAACGACGCGGACCTCGTAAAAACGTAGCGCGTCCGCAGGGTTCTTCCTCACACGCGCAAAGCGCCTCGCCTCGCCTCGCCTTCGCTTCGCGGGGCTGCCTCCCGTCCGCCGAGCGTTGTAAAGGCGCGCAATAGGGAAGACGCGCACGTCATGCAGAGCTGCGCGCGGCCTCAGTTCACGCACCGCGCCGTGCAGCGCCGGACGCGGTGAACCGGCTACGCAACGCACGCGGCGCATGCATGGAGGATTACCTCACCCACCCCACCCGCATCCACCCCGGAAGGGCTGAGAGCTGACAGGGTCGCGACAAGGAAATTTGTGCTCTTGGACCTTTTTTTTGTTATTTAAGGTCGCATCAACCTCTGGGTCATTAGCGACCATTATTGCGTGTAACGGTACGGTAACTATGAGGATGACACGATATGATGATGATATGGGGTGATAGGACGGACACAATACAACTATGGTCGAGACGGGACTCGAACCCGCGATCCTCCGGTCCGAGATCGCTACGGCACTACTACCGCCGGACCGGCTGGAAAATGTTTTGTTTGCCGCCCCCTTGTTATAATATTTTCGATTTTGTATTCACTATAAAGCTGGCTTTGCACTTGCAAGAAAATGGCGAGCAATATTATTTTAAAAGTGAAGTTGCCAATGTTAACATTGCGGCAATAAATATTTCTGATGTTGGCAATATTTCTCGTTAGATATTCCGGTCGTAATGTAAACTCGTGTGAAGTCTGAGCAAGATATTGCTGGAAAAGCCAAAGCTGACCATGGTCACATGCGCAGGAAGTACGGTTAAGATAGTGAATAGATGTAAACATTTCCATTGTAATATGCGTTTTGCCGTAACATGGGTGTGTGAAAAAGGTTTACTACAAAAAAGAAGTATAAATAAATATTCTAAACCCTCTATGGTTGATTATCAAAGGTTAAAATTTTGGTTCAGCTGTAGATTCCTCCTGATTGTTAATTTTTACGTAAAAAAAATTAGTAATATATTAATCTAATCTAAATCAATTTTAAGATTAATCTATAATATATAAGTAGTATGTTATGGTTATTTTAAAACCTTTTACCGAATTAGTAATTGCACATTTTATAAAAAAGAAAATTACTTTGCTCCCACCTGAATCGAAGTCCACGAAATCATTTTTTTAATGAAAAATACTGGGACTCTACCTAACAGCGACCGCGCCTCGCATTTTCTGCCTTCCACTAATTTTGCCGGAAAGTGAGCTGTAACCTCACTTAAGTTCACAGGCTATTTTCCTCGTGACGTCACCAAACGGCAACAAACAGTCCTAATATAAAACAACCGGCCATATCGTGACGGAAAGATATTGCTCAGATCTGTCTGACAATATATTGCCCCTCCTTTGCTCTTGCTAGTGTAAAGATGACAGCAAGAAGCAGAAACAAATTGCTTGAAGATAATGCGGAAACGTATAACTAATGTAAGGCCAGCATAAGGAAAATTGAATAACTCAAAATATTGTTTAATGTCGTTCAGTATTTATACTCCTGGACTAATGAAGTGAAGAAGGTTTACAAAATTCGATAACTATTTGCGATAAACATGACACGGCTCATAAAATATCTTAATGTAAATGTTTTATATTTAACAAGATATGAACTTAAATGTTGTAGAGTGCACTATAGTAAAGAATTGTGCTATTCCGCTTAACTTAAAAACATAATTCATCACATTATAATTATAATTATAAAAACCGAAAAGTGTGAAGGGACACATTTGTCAAAGGATTGCTGAACATGACGTTTACTCACTAATCTTTGCAATTAAAAAGGATCAATCTTCGAACTCAAAAAGCGATTTATCTTTGCTTGTCTAACTATAACTTCATAATATATAGACTGCTTTCATATATGTCAATTGCAATACATACACCAAAAAAAAACGGCCAAGACCCACCACATTTCAACTATTTGGTCTTCAAGACGTCGTAACGACAAATAACGGCAGATTAGCGTTTATTCTATTAATGTTAAGATATTATTAAAATTTAGCGGTCTATTCCAAGAAACCGGGTAATAATATCAATAACACAATCTATAAATCATGTAAGGCCCACTACCTTTATTTTAAAGCAAAAATCTCGAAATGTTGTTGAGAAAGAAGCTCAAATACCTTTCCAAAGAAAAACCCTTAGAGTTTTAAATACATAGAGTCACAGACAGGTAATTTTATGTTTGCTACGTCCATAAAAAAAACCTCTTCCGGCTAAACTTGAGGGCAAGCGCTCGCCTAACCTCGCGGTGCGACGGGAAGCAAGTGTTTTGGTGAAGCCAAGGGCGTGCCGCTGAGCGTGGGCGTTGAGGAACCGCGCGGCGCCCCTACCGCCGCCTTACGTAAACTACACGAGCACGTGCTCCCTGTTAGTAGCCGCGTAACACTCTTTTAGAAGGATGGATGCATCGAGTTCTTTTGATAGCGTTCTCCACACTGCAAGTGCGTGTTGTGGCGATGCGCTTTGAGAATTTCGGTTTCTTCCCTTCTGCCTCCCATTTTTGTCTTGGATGCGGAAGGCGTGTCAGGGGATTATAATTGCAGTTGCAACAGCACGCATATGTGCAGGTAAATGGCGATAATGCGAAGAAGGAAATGTTTTGAAGGAGCATCTGAGAATCTGAAAAATCATCTGAGAATTATTATGGTGTTTTTGTTGGTTCTAGCGTGTTCTTTTAATATAAAATCAACATTTTAATCGTTTTGTACGATTAAGGGTACGGAGTAATGGTGACTGGTGAATTGATATCGGTGAAAGGCAACTTCTGAAGTTATATTTTGAAAGGTTTGTACCTTGCACCTGAATCAGTCTTTTACTCGAGGAGAGTTCGAAATAAGGCCATTGAATACCTACTATTTCTTACGGTTCGTATGAATTTTGCTCCCTTTTGTAATGTATTATGAAACTGGCTTTGCATTGAGTTGGACACAAAAAGGAAAAAAATATGTTTCAAAATGATTTTTAGAAAACTTTAAGGTTATATGGCGCTTAGCGCTAGCTATCGACACATCTTGGATCCTCGTAAGGGTTGTTTAAACAACCCTTACCAGGATCCAAGAGTAATATTTTTCTTCAAATAATAATTGATTTGTCAACATCTGCTGAATGATAGGTTTTAACATTCAAAATGTAGTGTTTGGAAATGATACGGTTTTTCTTCATTTGTCTACAGCAAATGTCATAACTCACGTATTTTTCTATGAGTTAATCAAATCAAATAATTTTCTATGAATTTCTATGAACCACATCAAATAATGTTTGCACAAACAACTCTTATTATATTTATTAACAACAATTCTTGTTGTAAAAAAATACAATTCTGTCTTACTTTTTATTGAAACTACTACTGTAACCAATCTAATTTTAAATCGTAATTGGACAATCCACATTCGATTGAATTGCAACAGGTTTTGTGAACGATCACAAATATACGGTGGAAACTATAAATCTGAAATGCTAAATTTCTTTATTTGCCTACCTAACTCCATCACGTTTTTCCTTAAATTATGTTTGCTGCAAGAGTGATTTTGTAGCTTCTCTGTAAACGTGATATTTTGCTTATATAAAGAATGATTTAAGGAATTTAAAGAGTAGTTGGTAATACTGATGATGATGATGATGATGATGATGATGATGATGAGATGCAATGGAATGGAATGAGAGGTTTCACAAGGGAAAGAATCCCGACAAAACCTGACGTGAATCTACTTACGGAGGCACATAGCTATGAAGTACCTCTGGGAGGAGGGTAAGGAGGGATAGAGCCGAATAAAATTGTAATCAATGCTTTAAATACGACAAGTTCATGATTGTTTTGCAGTTGGAATTTTCAACTGTTAGAAACTAATTTTAAGAATGTTAAATTTTAAAAAATACCGGAAATAAACTAAATCGAAATCATTCACAATCCCATATAACGATCAGTGCCCATGCCTTCCGTCGCTGGAGCTGAAGATCGATCCTCGTTCAATACAAGGGACATCGGTGGTGAATAAAGCGAGTTGAAGATTTTCCTCGGTTCCAATGGTTATCCTGCATCCCATTCCACAATCTTCTTCATCCTTCTGTTCATTACTCCCATCTTTACATCTCCACAAAAACGCCTCACCGGCGATATCCAATGGCGTGCATGTTGAGAGTTATGACGTATCTGAAAAAATCCTAAAATTTCGAGACAGGGTTCACCGAAATGTTTGGTGAAGACCCAGTCTGCTCAGTCTTGAATTTTCGTCCACATGCTCGAATTTCATTTATCGAAAGGAAATATTTTCACCCCACGTCACTTGTTCCGTCACAAATTCACGCTATGATGGCCGGGATTCGAAACAGCCCGCAGAGAAGCGAAAAACAGCACCCCCACGCATCTTTTTGTTGCGATTTCAGTTCCTGACTGCGTGGTGTAACATGGAGTGCTGAATCGTATTTCAGGATGCTACTATTACTTGATTGATCGATTCATGTTTCCGTGTGGCCATTAGCCCATTAGAGAACTGAATACTAATATCACGTAAGATAGCGGTTCCTCTCGCGATGGATGGTAAAATGCGGCGCCACCTACACATCAAAGGATTTGCCCCTCAAGATATCTCCCCTGTAGAGGAGCACTGCTCCAACGTGGACACGCTCTAAGCTCCCGATAGTGTACTGCATGTATGCGTGTGAGTATAATAAGAGGGGATATGACAAGGAGGAGCAAGGAAAGATCGCGCGCGGTCTTGATTCTTTTGTTAGGGTACTGCTTCGGCATTCACTTGGTATTGGTCGGAGAATCCATGGCACACAACCGATTAGATCAGCCGGAATCGCCGCTAGAATTCTCCTCCAGACAGCAGCAGAATTCGACCTAGCTGTGCAGCCAGTGTCGAAAATCCACCGCCGTCGGGACTTAAACCCTAGCACCGCCCTGTCAGATTAGCTGCTAAAGTCAGTAAATACTGATCACTGTTTCGATGATAATGCAAGAATGATGATGAAGGGAAATGGGAAAACTCCGAAAAGATAAACTGCAAACCAACTTTTTCCACTGCAAATTCAATAAGGTGTGAACGGGGGTCAAGCCTGTCTCTAGTTGTGAAAATCAGCGTTATGGAAGCACTGCCAATTCTCTCCCCCAAGAGACATCATATCTTGATTACTAATTTCCCATGTGCACAGATGCTGCAAGATAACTACGTCGTCTCCAGCTTTTTGAGAGGTGTATATGTGTTCGTTACACACCCAGAAACTCGAAACAAATGCAAAAACATTTATACTACGAATTTACAATATGCGATGAAATTGAAAGGAAACTATGCAGCCTCCGACCATGTCAGTGATGTCAATGATTTCTTTAGACTCTCAGAAACCCAGTAAAAGTCTAAAAACAATTAAATAGTTTCGATTTTGAGATATAAGTGTACTTTTATATTGTGCCAATTGGTAATGCATGGTATCATAAATTTTGTTGGCCTTGGTTATGCATAGAACCATTTAATCATATATCAATATTACTAGTGTTAATTACGATTTTTATTTTGGGTATTTCTAGGGTTATTTTCAAGGGGGGCTTCCTTGGAAAGAGACCCTGTGGTCCCACTTGGACCTGCCCGGCTGGCCGCTCCGCGACAAGCGGCGAGCGGTAGCTGCTGAGCAGTGGGCGAGTAAGCTGTTCTCTCGGCCGGCAGCTACCGGAACACGAAAGAGGCGGGCTACGCCTTCACGGGGCCTTGTTTAGATGGCCTCGCTTACGCACGAGAGGCCGCTGCGCAATCTCTCTGGAGCATGTCAGCGAGGGGAGACAAAGTGAGAACGGAGCATCACGCACTGCGAATGGAGCTTCCTGTGCATACACGGAGCGTCTATATTTCAAATGCGTTCATTTTGGGGGATTAAATGGTGTTATAGACCAACACCGGTAGCAGCTAGCCTGAAGGGAACAGATGGATCAACTATATGTGATTGGGAGGTTACACATTCATCCCGGCAAGGTGCCATTTCCTGGATTTATTTAACAAGGGTGAGTTGTTAGATATTACTTATTTTTTTTATTTCTGTACATTAAGTTATTTAACCTGCTAGCAGAACACTACATTTTACTAATATTGAAATTCAGAATATTAATATAGGCTAATTTTATATTAGAATTATGGCGTGTACCACAATATAATTTGTAGACCGATTGCTCGGATCAGATATTTTCATGGTTTCCCTGATACCTTCCAGGATAATGTCGAAGCAACTCCCTAGAGTACGGACCCGTGGACCGTGCGCAGTCCTTCCTTTGCTATCTCGTCCTCATTTTCATCCTTAGAGATGAGCGATTGTTCAATCACCCATCCTCGTACAACCGTTTAGTCATCGCATTAATTCAAAATGTTTCCGAGGCGTCGGAGGTTATAAATGGAACGAGAATCTATGAGTCGGTCGAGGAAAGAAATGTGTCTCCTTGTGGCAAAATCACTTAACAATACTTATAAAAAAGAAAGTTGTTATAAACAAGAGTGCACTGGTACCGGAATATCAAACCGGTACTATTTTCTGGAGTAATACAAAAATGTTCTTCTACATAAAATTTGATTTAACTTGCTGATAAATAAACTTAAATTATAAAAATCGGAATCCACAAAATAGCCCCTACTTTCGAGTATTCTCAGGAACACTGTGACAAAATGAGTCGCTAAAAATCAAATTCATAAAAAAGTTGTTCATTTTAAATGGAAAAGATAACCTCTGCTTCGTATCAATGTAACCATTAGAATAAATGAACATGTTTCACGATATTGTCATGTAGCCGCCATCTAAAACAGCGGACCATTCTTTTTCAGTCCTCCATAAAGCCATGGGCCAATTATCTACACTCCTTATTTATTGCCCTGCACTTTGTATACTGATGAATGTGAGAAAATGAATTTTGAACACAATTCATTTGAATATTCCCAGTCTGCATTTTACCTTGGCTTATCATATTTAATGTGCAGATAATGACCATCTTACAACAGTTGAGTTCATTGAATTAACTTTTGAGTATAGTAATATTCTTCAAGCTCTCTAAACCTAGAGACCCGTCTATGTGAGAAGTCTCTGCATATTTCTGTCACCTTCTCTCTTCTCTTCTGTTAATTTCTGATTGCAGTAGGATGAACGTTTTACAATCTTAAAATGTTTTTCGTGAAATTACAGGAGATTTGTTAAAGATGTTGGAAACAACATCGGGTATGACAGTTAAACTTTCGTCTGTTTATTTGCACTTAAGGGACCAGAAAAATAGATCTTTAAAATTCTGTGTACTAATATGCTTCTATTTTATACCCAATCAAAAGAGACATTTTCATTTTATATTTATCGTGAAAGTTATAAAATGTTGCAAAAAATTGTAAGATTTTTTCGTCTTCAATAAAGAGGGAAATTTTATAAAATTAAATTTGTGGCAAATTCCATTTCATTAGTCACTTTACCGTTGTTAGTGCGTTGTTTCAGAAATAATGTTCTTAAGAATTTTCTGTCTCACTTACTCTCGCAATTAATTTAAAGTTTTGAAATACTACTTTTATTCTAAATTATTTAATTACTCTTCGCCGCGAGCATTCAAACAATCATAGGATTGCTTTCGTTAATTATTTCCAAAGCCTTATCTCTCAATTTAACATATACGTAGTATATGCTTTGCTTTTCGCTCACAAATTTCAACTTGGCACTATGGCAGAGGAAAAGAGAAAAAAAGACGGTAAGAGGGCAAAACGAAAGGGAGAGAGAAAACAATAGAGTATTCTTACTGGTGAGTAAAATGGATCAAGACCAGCATATGCCGTGTGAATGCTTTACTGATATGAAGAGAAGTATGGTCAGAAAGCACCTAGTACATCAGAAATCTCTGAGATGTTCTTTTAAATTAAACATATCTCACGAATAAATCGCAAGCAATTTCCCTTGTCTAGAGAAGATACATATTTTAAAATGCTGTATTATCGTATTTGTTTATTCAGTAATAAAGTATATCCACTCATATACGAGTAGCAGTACCTTCTTCTCTGCTGCTATGTATACACCTCATCAGGCGGTGATCCGAACTTGCTGGCAAGGCAAGACGTAAGGCTACGTTGAGCAGAGTTGTTGGGAGCAATTGGAAAGGAGTGGACGGTGTCGTGGAAGAGTGGGCAGAACAGGACGGGATAAACGTGTCAGAGCGGTTAGAAACTGTGTGGAAGAGCGAGGAGGTGTGGAACAGTCATGAGCCTGGCCGGAAGGAATGGAACGGGCAGGTAGGTAGGTGCGAAATGTGTAACGAGGGTTCTAAACCCGAAGAAGTCGGGCAAGGAGGGGCGGGCAGAGCGAGTCTTAAGTTGCGGAGCGGAGCGGGTGGGGTGGCGTTGGT